TTTATGAATGCGCCAGAAGTGGACTTAGAGAAAGCTTGTCCTACACCCCCAAATTCGAAGGATGCATACTCGCCAGTAATCGAAGCCAGAGCTATACCAGCGCTTCTAGCCATCTTTCAGCGACATGCTCTTACACAGATACAGCTGAGCAGGTTGGTGTTATTTTAAAAAGTCTGAGTTTAGGAAGATGTCAAATGGAAATCGTATCTGTGAACAAATTTTCTTCTGAGTGCTTATTTTTATAGCTTGCACTCGCAAATGTCAAATTGTGCAGACGACGAGCTGTTTCGCTACGTGGGCACATCGTCCCTGAAGCGACGTCAATTTGTTGAACGTCGTACACACCTATTTCGCCTGACGCCAGAAGATAATATCGCACTACAGGTTAGAGTAAAAATACAGACTTAAGAACGACTTTGATTGCTAATCGAGTTTCTTTCGATTCAATCTGCAATCCGACGATGTTTATATTTTTCTCCACGGAAGTTTCTTTTTTTTGAAAGAAGTCCTGGTAATCAAGACTTTTAAGTGTGATATAATTGTAATGCATTTTGGAAATGTTATAACGATTAGAATTTTCGCTGTAATCGGCGTCCTAGACTGTATTTTTGTCGCTGTAGCGTGAACCTGTAGAAGGTCCTCACCCTAACATTGAATTTGTAGTCTATGTTGTGAATCATACTTGATACATAAAAGCATAAGGAGGTCTTCAGTACTGAATAGTAGTTTTTGAACACAGTCTTTCTTTCCTCACGTTATAGAGAAGCCATCTTGTTGCAAGCCACTGGTAATATAGATTAGATAACCGTTGTTTTACCTTTAGAGCCCAGCGATCTATCTATGTGTGCTTCGCCTTGCGTCCTATCTGCTACGTCGTGGTGGCGCAACTGCCATTCAAAGCCTCTACGATTATTTTATTGGTCCCGAGATGGCACCCGAAATACGCGAGCAGATTGGAGAAAGTTAGTTGTCAATGATATAATTATTGTTCAAGACTTGTCCCTAAAACTCTCCATACAGGTCGTCAAGAGTTTCTCAACCTGGTCGTCAGCCATCCATGGATATTTGCATTGTTCCCGAACCGTACTTATGTGTCAGTGCGCCGCAACTTGCCTCACTATGATTATCCCGGTTTCATCAAGCAGGTGAATCATTGCATTCACTCGTCGACGTGCTACTCGGGCAATTTTTATGCAAATTCTAGCATTTCCCTGATTTGGATGTGCTGCGTCCGTCATCCGCTCGCGGCTATGGGCCTCGTCCAATCGCGCGTTCATTGTCAGCTCATCAGCCTCTAGTCCAGGCTCTCTCGAACAATCGCACTGCAGCCGTAGCCGGTTCGCTTGTACAAGCCGCCGGTCGTCCTGTCTCGCTATGGGATGGCAGAAGCGCCATGCCACAGGTCAGGGTTTCCTGTTGTGATTAAAGTGACATTTGCGAGAGATCATATGGCTTTAAGACTATTGGAGCTATGCATAGTCCAGCGGAACAGCAATGGAGCCCAGTGGACCCAATGTTCTCACCTGCTTGGCCCACACGCGCTTCTTCCATCGGAGATCGTATCCTGGCCGCGGCTCCACCAGGTGCTGGTGGAGTGATAGGATCGGCTCCAGGTGGAACTATTGGACAGAATAAGGTGGGAAAGTTAAGGTTATTAAAATATCGACTTTAACAAGTTGCACAGTACATGTGCGATACCTACAGATAGAATAGAATAGTTACTATATTTTTTTATATTTTGAAAAATCTTCTGTAGGGATCTTGTAGCTTGATCGTTGCCAAAATCCGGTCTTAACTTGTAGCAACATTAATTATAGGTGATGGTGAACGTAGGGGTGCAGACTGATGCACCGCGCTCCGATTCTGGAACATGCACATGCGGTTGCACATGCGGCGGACGTGGAGGGATGTCGCGCGCTAGCGGAGGCTCGGCCAGTCCGCCTAGCCTGGACAGCATCAGTCCATCGTTGCATGACCGTGTTTCGCCACCAGTGAACGGAAATGGAGCTACTATCAACAGTGGGGAAACCACTGATGCTCCTCCTACAATGCGCGCTTACGACTTGTTCGGTACAACCGAACTCTTTGCAGCTCGTCTCGGTTCGATGCGCATTAACTAGCTTGTATGCAGTAGAATTTAGAAAGCGTACCTCCTCTAGTTCGCAGCCAAGTATGCCTTTCCACAATACCATGTATGCTTTTATGTACGACCATTTCGCTACTTAATGTCCACTTATAATTGAACGTCATACGTGTTTGCGTCGTCTTATGTGTAGTCGTATTATCGTTATTGAGCAGCAGCTGCAGCAAAGCATGCTTTTTTTCTTCCTCCTCTCTCCCCTATATGCCTTTGTGCCGTTCTGTTTGGCGGGTAGTGCGCGAGCTTATATCTTAGTCTGCAGGGCGCTCGCGACTGCGCACATATACTCACAATCCCCCACTAACTTCTTTCATTTCTTCGTAGTGTAAGCCGTTTTGTTTTGGCGTTTCTTAATAGCTTTATCCCCCCGTATATCATCGCTAATCGTTAAGATGCGTGATGCGCTCGTGTGATGGTTATTGCACGAGTAGCACTAGCCAAACCCCTTACGTCCCACCTCGTCCTATTATTTTCCCATATTGGCGCCTCTAGTCGCGGCCCTTTGCCATGCCCTACGGGCAGTTTTCCCTGATATCACTTATGTACACTTGCTCATGTTTTTACCGTCTAATCGGTGTACCGTTGTGCTTTAGTCGTATCTCATCATGGTTCTCCAAAAAATTATTATGTAGGCTAATTCAAACGTTACGACTGCTTGTTTTTATGTTT